ATATAACTCAAATAAAATCGTTGAGAATAACACTAGTTGATACGCTGGTATTCTTTTACATTTCTAGTAAATATTTTTTGTCGTTGATGATTAATTTAAGGATATTGGTGGACAATAATAACCGTCCAATTCCACAGCAAAAAAAAACGATTCAAAAATATAAGTTTGTCTCAGTTTATTCAAATAAAATGAGAGAGATTATAACATAATTTTCATGAAAATATCGACAATGTAAACTTGCTTTTATCGTGATAATCATTTAACCTTCTCAGAATAACATGTCAAACGCATCTGATGTTCAGAATGAAGTGAACGCCAATCCGGCAGCCGATTACCTTCCACTACATCAAACAAATGTGTTTAACACGCCGATAACACATTGAGTTAATTCTGTATAAATAGACTATTTCAGTATAAATCCACACTAATAACACATTAATCACACAAAAGGATGGTTACAAGTAAGATTTTTCCAATATCTGAAAATTTATATACAGAAGTTAAGTTTTTTTTTTTTATAACATAAGGTGGTTAAATTAGGCCTCCGGCACCACACTCATCAGACGAAACACGGAATTGCTTCCATTTCACGACTGTCTTCTGTGTGGTCGTGGTATTGCACCGGGCGTGCCGACCCATTCGTGCTAAGATGTTAAAGCGGGCACTACCACTGTCAAAAAGTCAAAGTAAATACATTTTTACGATCTCTTTAAGCCCGCTATAGACGCTCGTTTTTAACTGTTTAATCAAAACTGAGCGTCTGTAGCTGGCTTTACCAACCTTTTTCATATCTCTTTACGCTGTCGTCAGGTCCTTTACTTACCTTTTGAATACGGTACATATTTTGTTCTGGCATTTAATTATATAGAATTCTTACGTTTCAAAGATAAAATTTCTACTTATTCCGACGTGAATTTTCTTTAACTAGATTAAATTTAAAGAACTATTTTTTAATATAAAACTTCACGACGCGAAACTTCCATTGCTTTCTGTAAGAAAATTAAAAATAAACATCTATCTAGTTTCAAAGGAAATTAATTGTGTGTTCGTCCATCCGTTTATTTAACGGTTGCATTTCTTTTCTCTTTACTCACTGCAATAGGTTCTTGAAATAATTTACGGAACTGAAGAAATTGTATAACATTAACTACATCGACTTGTGAACTCTGTTCTTGTCTTCGTTTAGGGCGACAGCACATCTTTGACTAAACTATCGCACAACTGTTTCGCGATTGTCGATTGTTTCACAGACCATTCAACAGTTTAGTTGCAGAACTAAAAATCCAGTAGTGTGCGCATCATATTAGCTCATCGGAATCCAAGCGACTATACAGTCGTGCGATAGTTTAGTTAGAGGTGTGCGCGCGCTCTAAGAATACTCCACTTTTTTATTCGTATTATTTATGTATCTATTGAGAAAATGCGTTCTTTCTATACATATAGTTAAGGAATTTAATTTCATATCCATTGCATTTCTATGTAATCACATTAGTTATTTTACATGCAATGTAATCTATACTTATTATAATAAAGCGTAAACACACACTTCTTTGTTGCCTAAGATGTCAGCAATTACAGCATATTTTTTAATAATTCTTTTTTTATTAAATAGCCGTACACTTACGCCACGCTTTAGGCTACATATTTTCACGCTATTAAACTTAGGGGGTAAATATTTTGGATAAAATCCCTAATGTGGAAAAGAGACCATAAGTTGCTGCCGACATCAAGAAAGAAAAATTGCTAAGGTTTGTCATGTCATGTCATTTTGACATTTCCTTTTGATAATTTGACAAATGTAAACAATAAAATAAAATTTTCATAATTTCTTGCGGACGAAGCCGCACGGAAACAGTTAGTTTGAACTAAAACTTATCTTAACTTTTACATACGTGCTAATTTGTTGGTGACAGTTTTCTGTTACTATGTACGATATAAGTGGGAAGCGAATATATTTCTTTAGCTGTACACTATATCATCTGCATGCAGTTTTACACTTGAAGTACAGTTTCATATTCCCAGATTGGAAGCATCATTAAAACTCTTGTGCCGCCTCACATCTACAAGCACTGAGAACAAACGCTTGACTGACTTCACATATTACTTCCGCACTTTACTTAAAACGAAAGCCAAGAATATGAAGGCAAAGTTAGGTACTACAGTACCTACTTATGTCACCGTCACATTTTGAAGATAGTCAGTTTAAAATTTTACCAGACATAAACTTTCTTATAATTGCGAAAGTTTTGATATATAGATCGATGTTTGTTAGAGTTTCTATCGTAAACGGTTGAATGGATGTCGATGAAATTTGGTATAGATATAGAGGATAGTATAAAAGAACACATAGGCTTGTTTTTTTAATTCCATGCGGACGTAGTCACGGGAAAAAGCTAGTATTTTTCAGAAGATTTGAAAGAAAATTCAACTGAACGAATTATTGATAAACAAGAAAACAATTGAATAAAATGTTTTACGTTTATGTCTTCGATGCGAACGCACCACATGTTAGAAAAATTATGTTTTTGAACTAATGGTTTTCTAGTGAGATTATGAATATGTTTTTTGATATTACATTCTTAAGACAGAAAAATATTTTTTACTTTAAAAATTTAGATCATCAAAAGATACAACATTAAATGTGTTTTTAATTGAAGTATTAAAGAAAATAAACAAAGTTTAAGTTGTTGCGATAACAGAAGCGTCTAGAAAAGTCTTTAGAATTTTCAAATTATCATAATAACGTAGAAAATTGTTCCCCAGTCGATGTTCAGTCGTATTATTCATTGTTTATCGCGACTGCCATTACCAGTCATTTTGTGATACGAAACTATTTATTTTAATAGACCTCTTTATCATTGCCATCTGTACAATATTTTCCATGCCTTTGTTTGAAATTGAAAAGTCTTTTTCTTTTATTTGAAACGTTACTGTAATAAAAACATTTGTTTTATAATTGTAAAAGCTTGTTATTGCTAAATAATAATAGATTTTACAGGTAGAGGAAACTTGAATAATGTATTAATAGACTTTGTGAAAGAGGTGATGCTAAAGGTTAGCATGGTATAGACATGACATGTTATGCGACGAGACGATGGGGACATAATCCTGAAAGTGTTAAGAATGAATGTGGATGGCTACAAAGGAAGAGGAAGACCGATGAAGGTATGGATGGATTGTGTGACAGAGGATATGCTTAAGAAAGGAGTGGATTCAGATATGACGGCTGATAGAGATGTATGGAAGAGCAGCACATACTGTGCCGACCCTCCGTAAGGGATAAGGGCAAGTGGATGATGATGATGATGTAAAAAAGGTGATGCTTAAGAAGGAAGTGAATTCAGATAGACAAACTGCCGACCCTCTATAGAAACAAGGGCAGGTGGATGATGTGGAATTTTAAAATCACTATATTACTGTACTTCTCTAACGCTAAACAATAAAGACACGCTTCAACGTCTCTACATTGATTATATTTGTCAACACAAACATAAATCGATACTAAGATGAAAGTGTAGAGCAATTTAAACAGTTTCAAGTACATGCGAAGTCCTCCAAGTATTAATTAATCTTCGATTTACTTCGCCTCGGTGTCGGTTCAGTGTTCAATAAGCAAGATATATTCTATGTATTTACAAGTTTAAAGAGCGGTGAATGTAATACCATGTTCTGTTTATCGATTAACAAGGCAAGATGACAAAATAATTGTATGTTTATCTGACCCGTTGAAAGGTACTACTATCTGTTATTTGTTCAATAAGAAAAATTTTAAAACATATAGGAAATTACATAGATGGTAACAAGGATTTTGTGACAATATAATGACAGTGGAGTCGTTAGTGAGCTACCATAATTTAGTTTGACTTATGTCCATCGCGTCAAATAACTTTGTTGGTTTATAAGTAATGATGTTTACCTTTTAAAAGATTTGGAAATGTCCGAATTCGGTATATGCAAATTTGCTAGGAACATTCGAGAACGAGAGAACATTAATTTTATATTCCCTAAACTCTACATTACCAACTTAAGTTTGTTTGTTCCGTGTGTTTACTTACACTAAACTTAGTTAATCGCCTTTGAGTGTGCTACTTACGTTTTAAGTTGTATAAGTAAACGAAGCCTTAAATAAGTTATTTATTAAGTTCCTGTTGTATTATTTATGGAAAAGTATTAAGTTAATAAGTTTTCACTACCGCAATAGACAACATTTTTATTTATAATATTTAAGATACCTACGTTTAAAGCATTAATTCAATTCATAATTTTCTTTTTGTTTAAAGCCTTTTTCAAAGAAGTAAATACACTAAGCATTGCTATAACCTCAAGTGACAAATTTCTCGTTGAATTAATATAAAGTTTAAGTTTAAATTTTCATCAATATATCAATTACTACTACGTTGTTTATCTTTTTTTGCTAGCGCAGGATCTATTTTACGAAATCCCGAGACCCGACGTAATCTGGGTCTAATTTAATAAACCACTATCGTTCCTGTAATACTAATTAATTTGTCCTGTTTACCTGATTGGTTTGTAGAAAAAATTGTTACTGTACACTTGAAAAATAAAGTTATTTTTAGATTCCCCTTTTTAAATTTTACCCTCCGTAATAATTCTTCCTTCTTTAATAATTGACTGTTCATTGGAAATTAATAACCTAAAAATCATGCTCTAAAGTACTGTATTTACGGTTTATAGTAATGCTTCTAGCGTTAAGAAATATTGATACACTACAATTTTCGAATACTTAGATTAATAGGAAAATATTGTAATCGATACAAAGGCTGCATAATTAAAGCAATAATATCAATCGGATTTTAACTAAAAAATTGTTTATTTCCTGTGCTATATTATTTGTAAATCAGCAGTACTAATATAGGTATAAAGTTTGTGGAAACTATCCAAGAAAAGCTATCTTTGTCGCGAAGTGAAAGGTGTTGGAACTCGACAAATATTTTCCCAGTTAGAATTAAATTGATTTCACGACATGTATATACTCGTACATTTTTGCGTTATAATTCTAGGACTATACTCCTATTCGGTTCATGCGTTCTTTCTTTTTGCAGGTAAGCTCACTTATTTATAAATTTTAATGTAGTTTGTACTTTAATTCGAATAAAATAATAAATACGCTACATTTCGTGGAATTAAAAAAATAAAAGTGTGTAGTCTATGTGCTCTTCCAGACTATTCTTTACATCTATACCAAATTTTGTTGAAATCCGTTCAGCCTTTTAAGCTACAATCTCTAACAAACATCCATCCATCTAAACTGTCGCATTTATTACATTAGAATGAAATATGACAAGTTGGCCCTTGTACTTATTTTTCCTAATTATAATTTTTTACATAATTAAAATCGCATTTTTTTATATACTTAAATCTAATAACCTTTAACATGACTTCTAAACTCGAATAAAACCTTTAACAAAAAGTCATAACTTTTAACTTAAAGCTGACAATTTGACAATTTTATTGCTTTCGCCGCATCACGTAGCAATTACTGGAGTAATCAACTGAGCGATGAAAAATTTCTTGTCTAATTCACTGTTTAATTAAATTTCAGAGAAGAACCAGCCAATATGGTTGTGTTTGAAAATTTGTCCACTTTATTGCCCTCAACGGAGACACGATGAAGGTAAATATTACTAACAAGCAGAGTTTATTACTAGAAAAACACTAATTAACTAGTGTTTAAATAATTATTTTTACAATCATCATCCACCTTATCCTACTCCCATAGGGTCGGCGCAACAGGTTTTTGTACCCCAAATAACTCTATCATACGTCATCTCAGTCATCACTCCCTTTTTGATCATGTCACCTTACACGCAATCCATCCATCTCTTTCTAGGTTTTCACAATATAACACCAAATTACTGTAAAGTGTTATGCTATTCAATAATACTTCATACTAATATTATAAATGCGAAAGTTTAGATGGATGGATGGATGTTTGTTAGAGTTTGTAGCCTAAACGGCTAAATGGATTGTGATGAAAATTGGCATAGACATAGAGGATAGTCTGGAAGAACATATAGGCTACTCAGTTTTGTTTTTTTTTTACTCCACGCGGACACAGTCGCGGGCGGAAGCTAGTAATTACATAAAGAAACTACTTAACAATGAAATTAAAGTTACTATGGATTCAGAAGCCAGGCGATGATCTAGGTTAGATAGAGGAGGCAGCTATCGTTAATATGTATTAATAGTATTGTATTAGTAGTTTTTTGTCCCTGTACCTTATTAGAGTCTCTATGGGAGTCTTCTATTTTCATACACTAAGGGCCTGTCCCACCAAATTGTAAATTGTCTGATAAGAATAGAACGTATAAAATATGTGATGGATTTTGTTTCTTTATCTGACTGTGATGTCATTTTTAAGCTATCTGAGCCTCTATCTGCCAGTGGTGGGACAGGCCCTTAGAATTGCAGTGTATTCTATCTAAGTTACTCTTTCAACTCTAATATCGGTACCGTCCAATGTGCGAATAATTTACATAGAACAGAATTAATCATAACCAAAATTAAAAAGGTAATTACAATATTGAAATTGCTTTGTGCCTGTTAATACAAATAAACTTCGACCTAATGTTGCCACATGCTTAATATACTTATTAACTGTTAATCTTCTAGATGCATCATTAATATATTGGGACGATTTTGAACCTATTCACGAAGAACCAGAGTTCATATTACCGTATCCTTACTTTTGCAAACCGAAGCCTAAACCCGTAACTACACCAAAACCTACCACAACAATGGCGACTACCACTCCTGAACCCACTTGGATCTGCGAAGTTTGTATGAAGAAATGTGGAAAATTGAAAACTAAATGATAATAGTAACCATAATGTTGGAGGTTTTTAAATGTATTTATTTTACATAATAGATAAAGTAGCCTTTTTGTGGTGAAACAATTTGTGAATTCAGCCTAGTAGTTTTAGAGTAATTTCAATACATACGTAAATACAAATCTTTCCTTTTACAATTTTAGATAACTGTAGATAATTACATTTTCAGAATTAATTATTAGATTTAAAAAGATTGTACGTGCGTTTGTAATTCTGGATAATATAATTTATCAAAAGAAAAATGTTTACTTAGTTCGCGTATAAACAAAATAATAGTTAAGGTAAATAAATAACGCGAAAAATTATAAAATTGGTTCTTATTTATTTCCTTCATTATCACCTATGTTGACCAACTTGTACAATCAGCTGCACAAATAAGTTAACATTTATAAAGCTTCAGAAACATTTACATGCATTCGGTGTTAATAAGATGGATGCACGTATCCATCCGACCTTGAATAAATATTATTAACGAATAAATGGAAACGTACTTTCAAAACAAAAGGCCTATTCAAGTATCTAAACTTTTGTAATTGTATACACATTTATGTAGTTGACTGTACTTTACTAGAACTTTTTAATATGAAACATAAACATAGATATTTCTGTACAAATATAATTTCACTGTTACATTCAATAGGTCATATTTATAACGTAGAAAACCGCAAGTGTACTTCCGAATGGACTAACTATATATTTCCTTGTTTGGTAAATTCATATTGACCATTGTTTGACGCTTTCCTTTTCACTAAAACATAATTTTACGAAATGACTCAAGACAAGGCAAAATACCAGAGACAGTCGCTTATAGCAACTTGTACTTTTTGTAGAAGGAACTAGTGATGTGTGATCAATCCAATTGGGTTTTTTTACAATAAGGGGTACGGGCGTCATATGTTTTTTCCAATATCTATCTATACATATAATAAAATTGGAGTGTCTGGTTGTTATATCAAATAAAATTCCAGATTACGGGAAAATGATGTATTTGCTTTGCTGATAACGAAAACCGCATTTCAAAATGTTTTTCTCTGTCTTTCTGCAAGCCGCGTTTGTTCCAGGTAATCACCGAAATGGCTTGCCGATTTCGACCGGACTTTCACTGAAGGGTAGCTGACATTAATGGACATATTATATGCTACTTTTTTATCTTAATATCGCGTGGGCAAAGTCGCGGGGAAAAGCTATTTTATTTATTTACGTAATCAAAAAAGTTGCATCACTGGTACATGTAAATGCAACTCTCACTTTTTGCTCATTTCCTGACCGATAATTGGCATGTAAAACTCCTTATGGTCAGGATTTGAAACCCGTTTATCGAACTTATATTACTTAGCACTTGGATAACTTGATCTCTAGTTAATTTAAATCTGAATTTATTGCAATTGATTATGTTGGCAAAATTGTTAGCACTCATTTATTTGAATTGTTTAGAGAATAAAACCCGTGCGTGGGTTTTTTTGTAAACTGTAAGTATATAAATGTACTGTTTTTTAAAGAAAATTCTTTTTTTTTTACAGTAATGTGTAGTTTCATTATTTGAAGATATTAGCCAAAATTTACTATAATTTTCCCATTTTATTTAACTTTTACTTAAAATCTAACTTTTAAGAATTAGAGATTTTATTGTTAATTGGATTGTAGCCCTTAATTTCTAAGAGTAAATGAGACAAATCATTTAAACTGGTACTAAACAATTTGTTTTTCATTTAAAAATTAGTAATGGCCAACCGGGGCTATTGTTTTTATTGGCCATTTATACTTTTATTGCTATTAGCGTCTCACTTTATATGAAAGTAATCCTTGGATCGTATTAGTCGCGTAATTTACTGAGGATCAGACTTTTATTACTAACTGCTGCTGTAGTTATCACGTCTTTGCCTTTACGTTATTGCATTTATTCAAACATTAGAATTACCACACAAAAAAGAATTTTAATCCCTTGTAATAAAGTTGTAATTTGGTGATTCAAATCAATTTGAAAAAATCTGTTACCATGTACAGTCTGCTGTATAAACATTTGTTTAATAAAGCAACCTGTATACAAAAATACATTTGCATTACAGCAACAAGTATTTTGTTTTATGAAGTATACATGTTTCTGAAGGTTTATAAATGTATACATATTTATGCAGCTGTCTGTACCATTAGATGCCAATAAATAATACGAAATGTGTTGTTGAATTAATTTAGTTAACAAACATTACATTTTTAATGTAAATCAACTAAAAACATACTTAACCATTCTGCCAATGGCATTTCTTAAACTGTGCGATATTTGTAGGTTTTTGCCTTTTTTTGTTGATAAATAATGTTTTTAACCATAAATATAAATGACTGTGAAAAACTCAAGAAGACGAAAACATTCTTAAAGATCTAAAGCCTATTGTTGAGAATGTTTGTCAGAGAAAAGCGTTGTCAATGTATTCGAGGAGTAGACCGTTTTGAGGAAATTTGTGAGCAAGGCCGTTATTTACACAAGATGGTCTGTATACTTAGGACTAGTGTACAAAACACTATTTGAAGTAGCCCATACAAAAAAGCATCCCTTTAAAATAACAAAAAAATCTAAAACTATCTAAATGTAAATGTAATGTGAATAAATAAATTATTTAAACTTTCGTGAGACATTATTATAGAAGAACGAGGCGCGACGCGACAGCGAAATAACCCCAGTAACACTGGCCCTGAAGATGGACCTCCGATCCCAACTAGTCGGCGCCGCCACCGGGAAAATAGATGTGGGTAAGAGATTGCAGATTGATATCTACCTTAACTTGATAGAGGAGATATAATGTATAACAAGATAATGTTCCCGCATCTTATACCAGGGAGGCGAACCACTGGCACGTGTGCCGTAAAGAGCACACGACAAAATACTTTGGGCAAGTCGATAATCATAAAAGCACTAGAAAAAAATTATGAAGTGGATGCATCATGGAAATGACGTTATAATCGCTGTCAAAATTATTCCATGGCACGTCTAAGATCGCATTTTTTTTAAAATGGCACTTTGATGCATAAATGTTTGCTACCCCTGTCTTATCGCTGTCCCCTATCTCTATTAGCTAATGCTGCTATGGGCTCCGCTACTGTTCCATTTTTAAAAATCCTGAAGAGATTCTTAGAGTAGTAGCAGTAATATCTTATTCCATGGTACGTTAGCACACCATTAGTGGGACGTCAAACACTCGGCCGGGTAATGAATGTTTCTGGTTCACGTCGAATTACTTTCCACAACGTCAAGCGCACGTAATACCTATATTTCACATGAAAATACTACGAAGAAATATTTATTACGTATATTCTATTAAGTAAGAGTATTTATAAGTAAAACGCTTGTTAAGTTAAAGGCTTAACCAAATCCATTTGCTAGGAAAGATAAATAAAAGCTTAGTGGCACTCAAAGTTGTTTATGGTTCTTAACGGTGACTCCCTTAAATGCGAATTTAAATAAATATAAATGTATACCACGAGAGTTATATATTTATTAGTTTTTATGCGTTTTATTTATGTGTATGTTAAAATTTGTCGATAAATATGATTTGAACATAAAAGACAAATAAATCATATGGTATATCTAAAAGCAAATACCATTTTACATGTCGTTTTACGTAAATGTTTATTTGCAAATATAATTTTGCAATGTAGCTTTTATATTATGCTTCATGAAAACGTGCTTTGAACCCGTTTGAATCAAGGATTAAATTATACAATCGCAAATAAATTCTAATATTTATAAATAACTAAACAAACGCATTTTATTTGCTAAAAAATCGTTCTTAAATTGCTTTTCTGGAAACTAAAGAATAATTTGAGCCATTATCTAGAAAATATACAATTATAGGCTATGCTATCTCGATATTTATCTTTAAACAGCTATTCTCTATGGTATATAAGTAATGGAAACAACATTTTAACACATTCTTTGCGAATAGACTATTAACGGACGCCTGAAAATGAAGACTGTACTGTTTTTATTCCTTGCTATAGTTGTAGTTCATATTGAATGTGGTAAGTATGGTTAAAATTCGCTGTATTTAAAATGAATAGTCTCTACTGTCTGGAAGAACACATAGGCTTTATTTTTATTTTTGTAATTCCACGCGAACGAGTCGCGGACGAAAGCCAGTAAACATAAATGACATAAATTTGACTGCATTTTGATTTTTAACGTATACAACCGAAATATTGTTATTGTTTTTCCTTTTCCAAGCTCGACACCATAAAATTCATAGATCCCACGATGAAGGAAGCACTGAACCTAGTGTCAGTGAGAGCGGCACAACTTGGCCTAACCCGAGTTCTATCGGCAACTTTCAAGTGCCCAATGCTTTTGTGAATGACGTCATAACAGAAGACGAACAACAGGTAAAAATGTATTCCTTTTTAACAAAAAAAAATAAACAGCCATTAATAATAACGAATGAGCGTCTTAGGTGAAGAAACCCGTAGATCCTATCTCAAAGTTTAGAAGTGTTTAAGTCGTGTTTAAGTTAATTTTAATTCTTTCTTTCAGCCTTCAGGGAGAAAACATTCTAGAAGATCACATAAACATTAAGACGACTTAATGCAAAACTGGATTTTGTACCAACAATAGTATATTATTTAAAGTAAACAGTGTCTGCAATAAATTAGTTTTTAATCAATTCACTTTATTTTTTTAAATTAAAACAGTCCCTTGAATATCAATACTTTGATTTTCTACCAAAGAGAATACTATAACTTAAAATTTTATTACCATAGTTTATTTTTACAAACGTCAAGCGGCAAACTCGGTGTCAAACGAAGAAGTGGCCACCTGAATCCGCCAAAATGACGAAGCAAC